TTGTCTGCTGTGGACGCGATCGTGCAAAACGAGATTTTCACCAAGTGTTTTCTCGGATTGCTGCGCCACAAGACAGTCATATTGGTGACGCACTCGCCGGAAATCATCGCGTCCAAGTGTATCGACCGGATTGTCGAAATCAAGAGCCGCCACCTGATTCAAACCACAGTCGACAACGCAATGGCTCTGACCGATGCACTGGTGACACCGCTGTGCGTCCGCGTGGGGTTTGCCGACGACTCGAATGACAACCATGACGACTACCGTTCAGAACCCAGCCAAGAGTGGGATAGCAGCATCTTGCTAACCCCGTCAGTGGCATCGCCGTACCCGGCGCCGTTTTTGCATGGCATGCCGTTCACTCCGTTTGAAGAAACGGGTGCTGCCACGTATGACGACCAGAGCGCCCGCCTCGTGCTAGACGAGGGTCGATCGCAAGGCCGCGTGTCCACCAAGGTATTTGCGTCCTACTTGAAAGCCGTGGGCGGGTGGAAAAAGGTTTTGTTTTGGGTTGCGGTGTTGGCCATATGGCAAGGCCTGACGATTTCCGGCGACGTGTGGCTCAGTCGCTGGAGTGCCACCGTAAAGGATGGCACAGCGTCCTCTTCTGCCGACTACTTGCACGACGCGGGGTACTATTTGTCCATCTACGCTGTGTTTGCGCTTGGCAGCGTCGCGATGACGATGGTTCGGACGCTGTCGATCTTTTCGTCGGGGGTGGCGGCATCCCGCCGGTTGTTTGAGAACATGACCAATGCACTCCTCCGCGCCCCCATGCGTTTCTTCGACACTAACCCCATCGGCCGCATCCTCAACCGGTACTCGAACGACATCGACACGGTGGACAGCAGCATCCCGTTCAACGTGAGCGCGTCCATGGCGGTGGCATTCATGGCGCTGTTTTCATTCGGCACGACCATCTGGGTGCTCCAGTGGTGGGGGCTGGCGCTGCTGCCCCTCATCTACTTGTACTTTGTCCTTGGGGGGTATTACGTTGAACCGGCGCGGGAAATGGAGCGCGTAAACAAAACGACCAAGTCCCCACTCCTGAATTTGATCTCCGAGTCGATTGAAGGCGCGCTCGTAATTCGAGCGTTCGGCCCCAAGCAGGTGCGCCGGTTCCAGCGCCAACACTTTCGCAACGTTGACACTAACAACGAAGCGTCGTTTGCGGCCCAAGTGATCTCGCAATGGTTTGCCATGCGCATTCAGCTCCTCAGTGCGATATTGCTCTTGTGCATTTCCACGGCGCTGATCTTCATGCGAGACTACGTGAGTCCAGGGCTGATTGGTCTTGTGCTCAACTACTCGTTTACGGTATTGCCGTCGTTCCAACAGCTGGTGGCCAACTGGGGCCAGCTCGAAACGGCCATGGTCGGCCCCGAACGCCTCGCGGAATACGCCAACATTGAGCCCGAAGCCCCCCGTGTGATTTCTGGCGCTGTAGCCAAGGACTGGCCCACGACCGGCGACGTTGCCTTTACCAACATGAGTTTCCGATACAAAGAGAACGATCCAATGGTGCTCAAGGACGTGAATGTGCACATTCAATCTGGTGAAAAGGTCGGCATTGTGGGGCGGACGGGGGCTGGCAAGAGCAGCCTGACCATGGCGCTGTTCCGCATCAACGAAC